CCCTCAACAGAACCCGCCACTCCAGTCCATATCGCCCAGCTCTTATGGATATATATTGGAATTCCTTATTATTTCACATATCCCACTTTCCCCCCTTTTTTAGAGACATATCCAATTGAGAGTGAAGTTTGGGGTCTGAGCAGAGGAGAGGCTTAACCAGCACCCCTGGAGTATTTCGGGGGGTTAAAATCTGTGCTCAACTGCCCAACATACATGCAGACTATTCTGCTGAGACCATTATTTGAACCGGCGGCCTTCTGATCACGAGCACAGACACCAATTCCGCTGAGGCACACACCAACGATGACGTGCGCTAGCCAGCTCCCTCATACCCCTAACCCTCCTGTACGTGATGTTCTCTGCAGCGAACGTTCCACCTGCCATGTGAAGCTGCGGCCCAGTTCTTTCAGAGACTGAAAGGCGGAACATCTGCGCTCCTGATCCTTCCATTATCTGTGCAAAATCTGCTTAACACCCCGTTGTTTCAGTCTTGTTTCTTCATCCTGGTGGAGCCCTCACACAAGAAGGAGCACTACTGTACCTCTCCAGCGTCAACCACCCTGGCACCATGTAGGGGGTGATTGTATGGGGGGCTACTTCCCCACCATCTCCAGCCGCAAGCTGCTACCACATTGTTTCAGTCTATGGGATATGACATAATTCTGGTTTAGTTCTGTTCTTTACATTTCATTTTAGATGGGTCTCATTAAAGGTAGATTCCCCAGGGACACAGCCTGTGCTTCTATATCCCTCACTTTTTAGTTGCCCATTTTGATGACCTGCCCCCCCCCAACTCCCCCATTCTTAGAGCACAATTCAGGAAGCGGGAAAAATGCGAGTATCAAAACATCAAGCTTCAAATCAGACATTTGGCTCCAGAGACGGGTTGTCATGGCAAGGATCAAGCGCACGCGTGACCTACACACACGGGATATTTTCCTCATTGTGCTGAGAGTTTATGATTGTGATCTTAATCACTTGCGTATCCGGAGTCTCAGCCGGCTACGCTGATAATCTGCGATAGTGCGTTTGTAGGCAATGAAGATGTCAAGGAGCATTTGGATCGCGACTGCAGCCCCAAGCTGCCGACGCCCCAGAATTTCGAGGTGCTGGGCTGGACCTCTTTGAGATTAAAGGGAAGCAGCTAAGATAAAGCTTGTAAATTATTTCGCGGTCTGCAATGTTTCACTATCGGATCTTTCTCACACTACATGTAATTACAGCTAATTGGTTTGAGGTTCTAATAGGAGGAAAGGAAATTCTTGCCGAATTAAGAGATATTCACAAATTAGAGGAGGAATTTATTATTCCTGGCAGCCAGTGAAGTGATAATCCTTCTCCGGCGCGGTCGGCACAAGTACGGTGTTCCCGGCAGAGGAAGGGATGCCGCAGACCTGCGTATGGCCTCCTTCGCTGAGATTTGGGGATCGCCATCCCGGTTGCCAGGGGATGCATCCGTGGAATCTCGGTTGCTGGGGCGGGGGGGGGGGGGGGGGGGGGGTTCTCCTTTGTTTCTTGGTTCGAAAGGGATCCTCAAGATTCAACAGCAGCCGGTGGCGTGTTTGTTTACACACGCGTGTGGATGTGCGATCGCCGCAGGGTGCATTTCCCAGTGCTCGCTCCCCTTTTTTGGGGGGGGGTTGCATCCTCTGAGATCAGAGGCTCAGCCGGTCCTTTGTGCCGATCTCAACGGGCCTCCCCGTCGACCCCCTTCATTAACGTCAGTAAATCCACCATTAGCAGGATGTCAGGGGCGATTGCCAGGTGGGGGGGGGGAACATTACTCAGAGCCGCCGCTGTTTGGGTTTATTATTGCATGGCCTCTTGCTGGGGGAGGCACTGAACCAGGGGGAGGGTTGAGACTCTTGACCCCCAGTGAGAATCCTTGATGGTGGAGTGAGTCACACCATCACTAACACCCCCCCCAGGACTCTATGTGGCTGTCAGTCTGCCATAAGCTGTATATTATGAGTGGAGTACACACCTCATTACAAACACCCTTAAATGTGGTCTCGCCATTTCCTGCTCATAAACAGCTGAGGAAATACCAGATACCTGACAGGAACCTGGTCGGAGGGCATTGTGAGGCTCAGTGGGTTCAGACTCTCACTTTCCCTGATGGCCCCTAAGCAAGGCCCTTAACCCCCCCACCAGGGACTGTATCACCCTGCCTTCCCTCAAAAAACTACGTGGCACTGGCTAAAAGAAGCTGCTGCATAAAGGTAGAAAAAACACAGCAAAATAAAACTTGAGGTATCATTCTTAGAAAGCTGGCTGCCTTGTACAAAACATATTTTTGTATTGTGATATTTGTGAAGGGAGAGTGCGAGGGATTTAGAAGTAGTGCTACTCGCTGTCAACTGTTCCTCAGAAATGCCAGCTTGCCCTAAAACTTTGACTAAAGGACTTTTTTTAAAACCCGAGACGGAGTGTAAATCCATAAAAAAGACTACGCAGAAAAGTGACAACGGCAGCGACAACTTACTTTTGCGTCCCTTTCTGATGGAATTCGCTTATTTTTGGGGGCACCCCGTCGCTTGGTGTGCTCCTTCCCTTGGAAATAAAGCTGAGCAGAGGGCTTTGGGTACCCCTGCCCCCCATTTTAAACTCCGTAAATTCTGTACTAACATTCCAGAGCCCAGCAGAGCGGCACTGAGAAGCTTCACGTCACTGTTTGAAGCTGGGTACAAAGGCGGAACGAACCCCCACACCCCACCCCAGCCCTCACTTCGTCTCAGAATGTGACTTTAATTGTGCTGTGGAATTGTGGGCAGTGTCTTTGTCCATCGTCGAGGCCGTGTGTGTGTGTGTGTGTGTGTGTGTGCTGAACTGTGAATGACCCTCTATCGATTGTCACCACGCGTCCCCGAGGAGTAACCTGAACTGCCGTCTGTGTGAATCACAGCACAAAGCCTCAGCAGTCGTGGGGACTGCCGTTGGTGAGCTGGTCACTGGATTACACTCTCTCAATGGCTGAGGAGCAATTCCTGCTTCCAGTATGACATAGTGAAGATGTTTCATTCTGGAATCAAATGTGGGTCAATCAGCAGCGAGGCAATGTCTCATTTAAGTCATGACAAACACGTGCGTTGCGGAATGTGCAAGGTTTATTACTCATTTTTGACAGGATATTAAAATAAATATGAGTTGGGAGAAAGCTGGGCTGAATTTTATTGCTTGGTGCCGTGGGAAGACTGTTTTGGATTCAAAATCTCCTTTTGTTGGGCTGACATAATTTTATATCAGAAATATTTTATTTTAGAAACAATGGCTCCTTGCCAATGACGCAGAGCTATAATGTTGATCACCGACTGCGCGAAGGTCTACATTTTATTGAACATGTGGCAGAACATATTCCATCTATATTAAAGTCTGTGAAAACTTATCCATCTGGCTTTAGTTGAGGTCTTGTTTGAAAAGTATTTTTTTCTCACCAAGGTTTTCGTTCTGGATAGTTTCCCTAGATAGGTCTCAGTAGAGTTATCTGTCCATCATCCGTAAAAGTAGTGAGGAAAGCCATCGCACAGACTTAATCTAACTCCAGTCATAATCCTGCAGACACAGTGAGCATCGCCCCCCCCCCCATCCAGCCCTAACCCCAGAAACACAGAGTACATCGCCCCCCCCATCCAGCCCTAACCCCAGAAACACAGAGTACATCGCCCCCCCCA